ATCATGATCAAGGACCAAGACTTTTTAAATTAATGATATCAAGATCAAAGCATCAAGGGCATTAAATTTTGTTCATAAAGGCATCAAGGTCTAAATAACAATTCTTGATTGCAGTCACAAGTGAAGCAACAGGCTATATGTGACACCTAGTCTGATGGGACTGACCCACCTCACTAAGTGTCACAATAAAGAGAGTCTGTTAAAAAGTTTTGTGACTCTTTTGTATTCAAAACACCCTGTGATATCTGTTGTCTATGATACGTACATGTACATTTACATGTAAGCCTGCATAATAAAAATAACCATGTTCTGTGAACAATTTAATCACTCATTATATATGTACATGTAATGTCAATAATTTATATTCTTTATCTTATTTTGTAGTCAATGTCACTGCATGAAATGCATGAGTATGATTTTGAGATGTTAATTGATGAGCCAGTAAGTAAATAATTTGTATAAAATAACTCTACACACTATAGATTGTTAAAGTGTTATAATATAGCATAGATGGGTTGTTAATAATTTACTCTTTTTTCTTAATTTATAGTCAATGTCCTCACGATGGCCTGAAAGGAAACAGTTGTCAACATTCTCAACAAGTCACTATGATGATGAAATGTCAGCTGAGCTAGTAAGTAAATAATTTGTATGAAATGCATGTACACACTATAGATTGTACCATATAACCTAGTGATAGTAAACCTGCATTAAAGGCATAATAACTACAGTATAAGCTGACTTTCTACAACACTGCCAAACCATAGCCTTTATATGATAACTAATTTTTTATTGCAGACTAAAGAAAGTGCATACAGTCCTCACAGTAGTACTGCAGTAAGATTAATAATTATTATGTGTCCATTATATTATGTATAACAGGGACAGGGAGAAGTAAAAAGATGCGATATTTTATAACTTCTTAATGGCAGTAATACAAATTTAAATAATTTTAGCTTATTTTTTATTTTTTGGTATAATTTTTATTAATAATTATTTTTTAATTAAAGAAAGAAGTATGTACAACTAAATGATTAAAACTCATACATGTGTGGTTTTATGGTGTTATTCATTATTATTAACTTATTATTATTCATTATTAATTAGTTGGTCATTTTTGTATAAAAAGAGACATTTCTGTTAGTTTTTGTGGGGACTACAATTGTTAGAGTGCGGGAGTGAGAGCATATTGTATTGTGGCCTTTTTGTCTCTCCATTGCTCTTTTGATTCCTGCATCATAATTGATTTGATTTGTTTGAGAAAAGAGTTTGTTTTATTGAATGGCTAATATAACAGCTTACAACTCATACACTCACACAAAGTTTACTATACATTAATATCAACAGTATCATTTGTTTCATTAGTGTTAGTAGATGCATGTGGTGAGGCTACTGTGTTACTTTTCATTCCATCATCTTCATCTGACTTTCTACCACAAAATCTCA